TATAAATCTAAATATCAAATATAATATAATAATAAATAATTAAGAAAATATGCTAAAGTTCATTTGATAACAATATGACATCTCCTATTGTTCCTTCTGATTCATCTAACATGTCTTCCTCTTCAGAGTTTTCTGCTTGCTTTGTTTGTAATATTACATTTGAGCTAGCAATTGTTACATCATTGGATTCATCATAAGTATCATTTTCATCTTCAGTTCTTTGTGCTTTCATGTCAACTCTTTCTCTTAGTCTTTCTTTCTTGTAACAGTTTCGTAGCTCTATTGATTCTTTGAGCTATTTACAGTCCCTTTTAATATGTCCTATTTCATCACAAAAGTAACATATTTTGGGTGCTGCTTTCCATTCTATACTGATTTTTTGACTCTAGATGTGTGTAAATCTTGGGATTCTATTAGTAAGATTTAGATCATCCGTTGTCTCAAATGTGATCATCCACTGGTTGAAAAGAATTGGAGTACCTTCATAAACCAGAGGCTTTATTGAGGCTATCTTCCCAATATCTTCAAAGGCAATTTTAATTTGTTGAGTTAACCGTTGTTGATCTGCTATTGGGACATTCTTTAGTTTTACTGAAAGGAATATATGACTTAAATCAGTAGGAATATACCCATAAAAGGTGTGGTTAAACATTACAATTCTATCTACTGCATATTGCTTTAATTTATTTTCTTCTTTGAAAACAATTTCTAAGTATGTATATTTCTTTTTATAAAGTAGGGTTTTGCTACAATGAAATCATTACCAATTTTTCTATACATGATGTTTATAATTTCATTAATGTAAATTCCCTCTAAGCTTTCGATATCTATAATCAGTACATTTGAGTTCTTCGATCTAATTCTATTTCTTGGGCTGTGTATTGTATATATAGCTTTTCCTTTAGTTAATTTCGTGAACAGGCTTGACCACTGTCTTGGGGTAGCTGAATGACTATTGGTTTGTTCTAAGTTATTTTCACTTTGTATTTTAGCATTGTCTGTATTCCTAATTAAATTTTTGCTACTGACATTCATTTGATCTTGTGATCCATCCTTATTCATTATAATATCTTTTCCAGAAGTTTCTATGGAAATATCTGATGAATTTTCCGTTATGTCATGTGCTATTCTTTTTTCAGAAAGCTGGTTTAGTGCTTCTATTTCATTCTCAGTTTCTTCAGCTCATATGTTAGGGGCTCTCTGGAGTTCGTTATCTGCTTCTATATTTGTTATAGAGCCGTTTGATCATTTTTGAGACATATCTAATCCTTGAAAAGAGTTGTTCTCTTTTTCTATATCTATCCACCTTGTATCGTTCATCTTGATTCTCTTATTTATTTTTCTACTTGTGAGTGTTTTGTTCAAGTTCCTTTTTTTTGGAACAAAGACTATTGCCCTTGTTTTTGTGTTAGTAAGTATATAAGCTTTGTTTTTGGATGTTTGGTTTAAGCGTAATGGCACCTGGCACCAGAAGTGGTCAGAGTGTGATTTTTAAAGGCGATTTGAGATTTTTAAAAAAAAAATACATAGTGATTAGATTTGGAATTCAGTAGAAAATTATGATAAATATTAACATGTAGGCTAGCATTTTTGATAGGAATTTAGTTATTATAAAATAAAATGATAATGAAATCAGAAAATTATAAATTTATGTATTATTTTGATCACAGGATCATAATGATATAATTTTTACTAATAAAATAGTTGCTTTACAAAAATCTTTATTTTTGCAAAAGTATCAAAACATTCTAGATTTGGTGTAAATAATTAATAATATAGGTCTCTAAGAGGAAATTTAGTTTCTTACTAGCACTATTAACGAGGTTTTTTGACAAAACACAAAAAATCAGTAGTTTTTTCAAAAACCTCGTTAATAGTGCTAGTAAGAAACTAAATTTGTGATTTGCTATAAAAATTTCCTCTTGGCGACCTATATTATTAATCATTTACACCAAATCTAGAATATTTTGATGCTTTCGCAAAAATGTAAGATTTTTGTAAAGTAAATAATTAAAATCAGTAAAAAGATCAATACAACTTATAAGCGGGTTCATAAGGGTTTCATCAGAATTTCATAACGATATATATTTCATAGTAGCTAAATCACACGTTAACGCAGCGCTCCGGATCCCAACGACCACGTTTTCCTAGTTTTATTTAAAAAATTTTCTTTATATCCGATATTCAGTGTATCTCACTAGATCAATTAGAATCTACGATAATAGGTGTAATATAAAACTTGAAAGAAAAATTTGTTGTAAAAAATTATTTATAATCGCTTTTAACTTGAAAATTTCATCAAAGCAACATTTTACATTTCTGAAAATTTTAATATATAATAATTTAGCTGATTTTAAAAATCAGCTACCAGTAAACAATATATAATATATATGTTATGTATGAAAATTTTGAATACATTGAGTGATAATTCTAGCAGGTACAAATTTCAGAAGCTTGAAATCGCAAGTATTAAATTTAGGCATGACATATATTTTAGTCGACTAGGCTGATTTTTTTTAAAAAAAATCTACTAATTTAACCGGTTAGGTCAACAAAGTCAGCTAATACTAAATCGCTAATATATATCTCTAAGTCCTAATGGCTAATTTGTCAACTAAGCTTATAAAGAAGTGATTATTTTTTAACATAAATTAAAAATTTATTTGATTTTAATCTTTCAATTATAATATGCTATGTTCTTTTAATGAATCAATTCTCAAAAATACTGTATCTCACAATGAATTGTTCTTTAAAGAATTTTTGTTGGTGAGATCTGATCTATAAATCCAAAAAGCTCTGTAATAATTAGATGAACACAATTTACAGGGCACTATACATATGCCTAAATTGCTCACCTTAATAAAAAATTATTACAGCATTTAATAATCTTTCATAATTGCAGAAATTACAGCTGTTTTCATAAATTCTGGGACACCTCAAAAAATTGCTTCTTCCGAAATTTCCTCGATCCCATTCTAAGAATCGCCTAACTTTTCGGAATTATGTCTCCGGATCGAAGTTCTGAGAAACAATGACATAAATTCCGAAAAGTTATGTGATTCTTAAGACACGATTAAGGTGATTTCGGGAAAAAGTAATTTTTTTCAGATGCCCAGAATTTATGAAAACAACTGTAATTTTCATATTTTCCGA